ACCATTATCAATACAGAAACATAAGCATAAACAGACCTTACATTCATTTACACTAGTGATCTACATCTCTTTTAATCTCTCAATGTAATGTAGCTTCGTATCGAAACCTGTGATACAAATAAGCTGAGTGGGTCAGGTTGGGAAACCTGGTGAGTACATAGGGATTTCAATCCCACAATGTTATATCATATATATTTTAGAACTCACAATATATACAATTTCACCTCATATAAGCAATTTTACTCCACCCCGTCGATCCTCACAACGATACGAATCCATACTCTCGGATCTAAAATTAATGGCTTTACCTAATCTATACTCCCAGATCAGGTGTGTCAAATCCATGCTCTCGGATCAATGACAAATGATTATGCCCAATCCATACTCTCAAACTAGGGACGAATGACTATGTCTAATCTATGCTCTCGGATCTATGACATATGACAATGCCCAATCCATACTCTCGGACTAGGGACAAATGACTATGTCTAATCCATGCTCTCGGATTAACGACCGTGTATATCTCACCCGCACTCATAAGGAGATACTACCCGATATTCATCTCAATTAATTTAGGTTTATTTTGTATCCTAAATTATAATATATTATCAGATATGCTCTTAACACGTATTTCAGGCAATAACAAATATTTCACACACAAACATATATTTAATACTTTAATCAATACTTGTATTAAAATCATGTTCATGAAAGGGACTATGCACTCACCTTAGTAGCGTGATTTGATAGAATCCAAATAGAAACGGTCATCGGTTCGTCGTTGTCAGGCTCAGGAAGGGAAACCGCCTTCGGAAAACCAGAGAGAACGAAAAGAGAAGGTGTAATGAAAGAATGGGTCTCGATTGTTATTTATAGGCTGTTCTGGGCCCATTCACGTCGTGAAATACCTATGTTCACGTCGTGAACTTCCATGAGTCATCCCGTAACTTTACCACATGTTTTCTAACCTCTATTAATTTCCTTGACTAGTTTCACGTCGTGGACTTAATGTTCACGTCGTGGACATAAGGCGGCTAGGGTTTCTGCTACGTGTCATGCCCTCAGACAGCTACATCCTCGGAAGCTCATAACTTTTGCATACGAGCTCCGTTTTTGACGTTCTTTATATCGAAACGTATGTATTGACAAGATCTACAACTCTAAATTTTACTCTATCGACTAAGTTTCGACCGATTTTAAATTTAACAGTATGAGAAAATTACACTGTTTAACGACCGTGTAAAATTCATAACTTCTACATACAGACTCCATTTTCGACTGTCTTTTTATCGTTGAGCTCCTATTAATGAGATCTTCAATTCTCATTTAGGTTGTGTTGGCTAAAAATCAATCGATCTAAAATTCGAATTCCGGACTGTGCACTACTATGCTAAATCTTGGAAAAATCATAACTTCCTCATACGAAGTCAGATTTGGACGTTCTTTTCATGCACGCTCTCGGTTTAAAGTATACTACGACTTTCATTTTGATTGCTAAGGCTAAAAAGTAATTTATCGTAAACTCACTTTTTACGTCATACATCGTCGTATCGGTTTTGTCGCGAAACTTCGACAAGTCATAACTTCTTCGTTATAACTCAGATTTCGGCGTTCTTTATAAATAATATTCCATTAAAAAGTCATTTTTTGACGCTTATTGTCTCTAAATTGGCTAGCCCGAATCTGCGGACGTTACATGTAAATAGCGAATTAAAGATTCGTCGCTTATTATCCTAAGTAATCTAAATGAAATTCATAGTAATCGTAAAACCAAGAGCGTGCATATAGAGAACACCTAAATCTGACTTCATATGAGGAAGTTATGATTTTTTGAAGTTTCAGCGCAACAGTGCGGACACAGAAACCGAATTTTAGATCGGTCAATTGTTAGGTAAAACAATCTAAACGAGAGTTGAAAATCTTGTGATTAAGAGTCCGTCGCTATAAAGACAATCAAGAACGGAGGTCGTATGAGAGAGTTATGATTTTTATACGGACTTTAACAGTCTAAGCCTGTTAAAATATAACTTCAAAAATAACGTGAGAATTAGCCGACGAAGTCTAAATGAAAGTTGTAGTACTCTTCGATAGTTACACGTGTGTATAAAGAACGTTGAAAACGGAGCTCATATGAAGATGTGATTTTTTGAAAATTTGGAATTCGTACGCGCATGCACGGGGCGCGGTGCGCGCTTCTAGAAGGCGTTGACGTGGCCCACACAAATTTTGACACGTGTCACGTTCTGGGAGGAAGGAGTGCCGACCACGCCAGGGCACGAATTGCGCCTAATCGGGCATGGCGCACACCTCCAATTTTCTACCTATAAAATCCCCTCAGCCCCCATTCCTCCTCACACCATTTCAGAATCATTCCTCAGAAAATATTCAATATTTAGCCCAGAATCCCTTTAGGCTTTAGGGTATTTAGCTAGGCTCTGACAATTAGAAGCTCTTGAGGCGGAGTTCTGCCAGTACAAATTCCGAATTATTTAAAGTTGAGTATGTGTATTAGATATTGTATTTAAAGGGATTCGGAGGCAGTGCCAAGATTTTAGAATAAGAGAACTCTGAGGCAGTGCCAAGATTTTAGAATAAGAGAACTCTTAAAATATATGGATTTTAGAATAAGGTAGGTTTAAAATGAACGATAAGTTTTAGGTATGGTTGACTTTGGCTGGTTGTTGAATTTTGATGTATGTGTGTGTGTTTTGCGAGGGGGGGGGGGTGGGTTTAGCATCCATCTACCTTGTATTAGCGCTCTTGAAGGAGGGGTCTTGGGAACCACTATTCGCAAACATGTAGAAATCTTTATTTGGGTTAGGTAATTATTTTCTTCTAACGGATGAAGTGACGCCATGGTTTTTTCTTGTCACCCCATTTTTGTCACACTATCTTAATTTTTTTGGAGAGAGAGAGAGAGAGAGAGAGAGAGAGAGAGAGAGAGAGAGAGAGATGACACAATCCCTTGCCATGGTCGCGAGACGGTGTTTGCCATGACAAGCACATGCCATGCAAGCCTTGTCACATTTCATGTTCACATTTCTTGTGGCTCCACTGCATCTAGCTTTATTTATTTAAATGTTAAGGACATAAAAATTAATCGTCAATGAACAACTTTATTTTTATTTCTTTTTCCGATGCTTATTATGTAAATTATCGTGCTGTTCTATGATATTTATTTTAATCTTACTTAAATGATTTATTTTTTTTTCAGTGGTTATTATAGATTTTAGAGAAAATGATGATAATAGTAATTATAGGGGTGTGCGCGGTGCGGTTTGATGCAGTTTAGAGTCAAAACCGCAAACCGCACCGCATGTGCGGTTTGAAATATTTGGAAACCGCAAACCGCACCGCACCGCAAAGGTTGTAAACCGCGTTATGCGGTGCAGGCGGTTTGATACGGTGCAGGCGGTTTAGGTGCGGTTTGATACCATTGCAAATAGAATATATATGTAATTATTTATTAAATATTTAATAGGCGTTGTTGAATATTAGAGTACATATATGGTTTGGATTACATTGCATAATTAGTTATCGTTCTACAGGTCATCAAATATATTACAACCCTTAACAAATTACACAATGCAGTTAGAAATATATATATATATATATATATATATATATATAATTTGGATCGATAATATATAATTATATATCGTAATTTGGTTCGATTTGTCTGAGTTTCAATGCAATTAATATATATATATATATATATATATATATATATATATATATATATATATATATATATATATATATATATATATATACATTGCGGTACGGTGCGGTTTGAACCGCGAATTTGTAAATGTAAACCACAAACCGCACCGCATAGTGCGGTTTAAAAAAATTACAAACTGCACCGCAAACGTCGAAATCCGCATTATGCGCTGCGGTTTGGTACGGTGTGAGCGGTTTGTACGGTTTATGCGGTTTGGTGCACACCCCTAATAATAGATATTTTTTCCAAAGTTTTTCCATAAAATAGCCACAAATTTCAAAAATGCCAAAATAGCCACGATTTTTGTAGGTGGGCCACCTGTGAAAATCTAGTTTTTGGCAAGTGCATGGGAAAATTGGTTTTTCTTCAAACTACAAACCTTCATAACTCTTTCATAAAAATTTTGTTTGAGTTGAATTTTTTTATTGTGTTCTCTATAACAAATGACATTCTATTGACATATTACACTTCGAATTTGGATACCAAAAAGTCTTATTTTTTAGCTCCAAAATAGACTACTTGGTGAAAAATATATAAAAAAATAAACTTTGATCATTCATAAATTTCATATACAAACTTCCTTTGAGCAAAAAATAAATAGATCATTGTGTTTTTTGTATCAAGAGATATCCATGGGCATGAAGTTATTTTGTTATAATTACACTTCCAAGTTGAATGTCGAGAAGTCATACATTTTTAGTTATAAAATAGAGTACTTGGTGAAATTATAACAAAATAACTTCATGACTTTCGCATAAGAACATTGTAACATTCATCAAATCAAATCATCTTGGTTCTCTTAATAATAAGGATGACGTGCAAAAATTTCAAAAAGAAAAAGAAAATCATAGAGCACCTAAAATTTCGCAAAAGTTAACCAACGAAAATTTTAAAAATCAAAAAATAATTCATTTTTTTTTCTGCCAAACTACATTTTTACCAATATTGACCTGAAAAAATCTAGAAAAAAAAACAAAGACCACCAAGATTTTAGCAAGTGTTAACCCACAAAAATTTTAAAAATCAAAAAATAATTAATTTTTTTTCCGCTAATCTAGATTTTTACCAATGACCTGCTACAATCTAAAAGAAAACAAATTCACAGTAGATTTTAGAGCTGTAAAATTTATGGCTGTTACGATCAAATTTTCAGGTTTTTGTTATGCTGTGGAAAAACCTTAAGAAAAATAGTTATTGTGGTAATTTTTCTCTAGATTTTATCGTAATTTTCTATGATATTTAGTTATCGATACCATTTTGTCCATTTTCCATGGTTATACTACATCAGTCAAAAGAGTAGGTGAGATGTGTTCTTACTCGATCAATTCGAGAACCCATCCTCTTCTTAGATGAGTTCAGTTTGAAACAATCTCTTGAATCTAGGCATTAACGTTCCCGTTGAGGTGCCACCCTGGTGTTTGTTAAAAGTCCCAAGTGAAAATTTTCAGTTATTTCAACCAATTGCGCTTTAACCAACTTGAACCATGGACTGGAGACGACGACTCGCCAATCTAAGCAGAGGAGTGAGTTGGATCGTGGCAATAGGATCTCTCTTAGTTGGCACATTCTCTATTTTGATGATGGTTAGAAGAGGTAGAATCTCAAATCCTTATGATGCTCAATCGAGTTCTTGTCAGTTTCCAGCAATCTACAACTTTGGTGATTCGAATTCGGATACTGGAGCTGTGTCCGCTGTATTTGGCCGCGTTCATCCTCCTTTTGGGATGACCTATTTTCATAAACCTTCTGGCAGGTACTCTGATGGGCGTCTAATCATTGATTTCTTAGGTAAATTTATTGAATTTTTTTACTTAAATGGTTTACTTAAATGGTTAAATTTAAGATCTTTCCGTTAGTTTCTCAATACTTTGAGAAAGAATTTGAACTGGGTACTAACTTATCCACTTTTAAGTTGGGTTTTACTCAATAATTGGAGTCGATTTGGATTTACTTTGTTTAATCTTCATCTGGGGTTGATTTCGAAGCTTTGGTTGAATCTTGAGTTGACTCTTTAAGAAATTGATCAAGGTTTCACATAATATGATATCAAATGAACAAATACACCCTCTATTTGACCAAATTTTCCGATACTGGAAAAAGTTTAGTATGAATTGGGGATTATAATTTCTACTTTAAAGTTGGATACTAAATAAGAATCTGAGTTAATTTAGATTATTTTGTTTAATCTCTATGTGGGGTTGATATAAAGATTCATTTTTTTAAAAGTTATGGTTAGATTTTGAGTAATCAAACTTTTCATAAAGATACTCAAAGGCTTGAACTTCTTAACTTGATTACAAATATAATCAATTCAAGTCACATTTTTATGTTTCTAAATGTGGGTTTGAATTCATGAACCGATATATGCAGCTGAAAGATTAGGTTTACCATACTTAAGTGCATATTTGGACTCCATCGGAACAAATTTTCAACATGGGGCTAATTTTGCTGCTAGTGGGTCCACCATTCAGCCTGCAGATGCTCTCATGCTAAACCGGACTTTTAACCCTCTCACTCTTAATGTACAACTTTCACAGTTTGAACAATTCAAAGATAGATCTACCGATTTGTATTGTGAAGGTAGAATATTAACCTTTCATTTAACTGTCACTGTCAGTGTCACTGATATGACTGTTACGATGTTGATTCATTTTAGGGTCTGACATTAAAGATCGTTTTCCACGACCCGAGGATTATAAGCGGGCCCTTTACACATTTGACATAGGACAAAATGATCTTCATGCTGGGATTACATCAATGAAGGAAGAGCAAGTGAAGACATATATCCCCACCATAATCAATGAGTTTGCTTCAGCCGTAGAGGTATGGATAGAGGGTTAATTTGGTTATTTTTTTGTTGATAATAGGCTAAACGCGTAAATTTTATAATTATTTTGACTCTATACAATCCAAAAATCATAATTATAATAAGTTTGTGTGTTGTTATTATTATAGAAACTTTATCAACAAGGAGCAAGAACATTTTGGATTCACAATACGGGTCCAATCGGATGCCTACCTTATTTTGTGAAAAACTATCCACCAACTCCTGAAAACACGGACCAAATCGGATGTGTAAAGTCATACAATAATGTAGCACAAGAATTCAACAAAAACCTCAAAGATAAAGTTTCACAACTCCAAAAACAACTTCAAGAAACATCGTTCATGTATGTTGACATTTATTCGGTCAAATACTCTCTCATAAGTCAAGCAAACAAACATGGTAAGCAAAATTTTTCCTACTTTTAGTGGGACCGGTCAAGGTCCTTTCTGACCTTGGATAAATCCAAGACCAGTAAGGACCTTACCACATAGTGGATCAGGCCTGTCCTGATCCACTATCTTTTTACCATTTTACCCTTTTGTATAGGCATAAAAGGGTGATCTTTTTGTAGGTTTTACGGATCCTCTAGGGCAATGCATAGGGCAAGATGGGAATTTTAGCAGAGGTTGTGCGAACCCGTTAGAGTATATTAGTTGGGATGGAGTACATTATACAGAAGCAGCTAACAAATGGATTGCTAATCGACTTCAAGATGGCTCCTTTTCTGCTCCAAAGCTTCCCCTCATGAAAGCATGTGAAGCCTTTTTGGGGTCCTAAGGCTATACGGTGTGGGGTGCGGTTTGGAACCGCGATGCACAACCACGTGGACTGCGAACACCGCCCCCAGGGTGCGGTTTCGTGCGGCTATAGAAGACCGCTTAATCTGATTGGTTGGGTGCTTTCTTCCATGTTTGACTGTTGAACGGTCAAGATTCGTGTAATTTTTTATTTTTTATTTTTTAACCATTACTCCATCTATATATATATATATATATATATATGTTACCATTTTAACCATTTACACCACATTCACACCACCTTTACACAAATATTTACACAATCTTTTCATCCAATTTTTTTTTGAAAAATGTCTTCTTCCAAAAGGCCTAGCAAAGAAAAAACACCAGTCAGAAACACCAACACCCCAATACCTACATTTGATCAACCGATTTTCTAATTTGCTTTTCTAATTTTTTAGGTTTTTTTAATTAATGTATGGTATTTGTATTTTTAATTAATGAAATATTATCTTTTTAAAATTATGTTTTTTATTTAAAAAGATTTTTTATTAAATTAAAATAGTTAAAAAAAACAAAAAAAAAAATAAAAAAATAAAAAATAAAAGTGTGACACCTATCCCTTGGTGTGGCAAGAGACCACACTTGTTTGGTAAAAAATGACGTGACGCTTATGTGGCGGGGGAGGGAGTGCGGTTTCGGTGGCACCACTCCCTCCAGCCTAATACTCATTGTCTTTGATTCTTTGGCCATGGGATTTTAGATTGTATATTGAAATTGGTTTTAACGTTTTTTTTTTTGGAGAGAAGTAGCTGGATATAGCATTAATGTAGTAATGTACTTTGTCCTTTTTTTTTTAAGCAGTGATTTTATATATTGAACTATAATAGAAGACTTTTTTTTTTAAAAGAATAAACAAAAATTTAACGACTCTGCTGGGGATCGAACCCAGAATCTCTGGTTCCGTAGACCAGCGCCTTATCCATTGGGCCACAGAGTCATTTTTGCTTTTCACCGCGATTTACCAAATATATAAATATCAATATACAAATATATATATATAAATTACCTTTGTTTTGGTTTAGTCGTATTATTTTACATATAGATTTTTGGTTTGGTATGATACGCTTCAACCTTTAAGCTCCAACTCAATTAATCCGTTTCACAATTTCACCACCATCATTGGGTTGGTTTAAGTAAAATTTTTAACTACCATCATTGTAATTTTATTATAAACTGCATTTTTTACCCATCAAAGCCTAAATTGCATAGACAACACATGTTTTGAGCTTATATATTATTTATGACTCATATTCACAAAAATAAATAAAATACAGACAGATTATGGTACTCACATAAATATACGTCTGAAGATTTATAATTTTATTTTGCAACGCTTTAGGGTTGGCAATGTTTCTAGATGAGTTGTATTTTCGGAACCAACTAAAATAAAAGAATTAGTGGTGGTTGTAAATGGTTATTTAAAACAACTTATGCGTATTTATAAAAATACCTATTAGATTTTCCGTTGTTAAAACGGAATTCTATAAAAAATAATTTGGATTAATAGGGGTTTAAAGATAAAAATGGCTTTGGTTAAGTTGAAAAGCCAGATGCCTTCTAAGGAAAGTGAAATTTCCGCTTATTTTCTTGATTTATCCGCTTAAATAAAAATGTTTTTTATTTTTATTTTTATACCATTCATTTAAAGTGAATAGAAAGAATCGTGACAAGGGGTATAATGCTAAACCTTTTTTTTTTCTAAGTTGATGGATAAAATCATAAATAAAAATTAATAATCAACTACAAAAAAAAATGTTTCTTTTACTATTGGAATGACCAATTGGTAGGATCAATAATATAGCCATTAATATTCTACTAAATATTTATTTGAGTTTTCATGTTTTGTAGAATTGATCATTTCTATCCAGTAATTTTAATTTCTATTCCTTTTATTACATTTAATCTTTAGAACTTTATTAAAGTGTCGAACACTCTTTAAATTTGTTGGAATCTTTACAAGCTCAATTTTTTTTTGGGGTTGAATGAGTTAGTTGGAAAAGGTGATGACTATTAAAAATGATCGTGGGCTTGGTGTCTGTAGTATTTTTTTTTTTTCTTCCTTGAATCATGTTTTTTTAATTCAAGTGGAAGAGGAGGTTCTTTCATCATGGAGACTCTCTTTTGTAAGATTAAGGTCTTGATCTTGATCACTTTTGTAAGAGGAAGGTGAGTAATAGGCCGAGTACCAAGATTTGGATTGATGCTTAGCTTGGGAACATACCATTTAAGTTGCAATTTTCTAAGGTCTTTGCTTCAGACCTTGAAAAATTGCAACATCTGATCAGCTTGATATCATAGGTGGTTGGCTTGTTTGCGAAAACCGTCGAGATGGTGAATCGAATTAGAGAAATAGAATGGGATGGTGATATTGATTTTTATCAAGGAATGGTCTCGAGTGGTTGTTGGATTCTTAAGGGGTTTATTTAGATTCCTCCGCAATGCATTTCATGGATAGCAGTATGTTGACCATTAATGAATATTTGACCGGACGGAACAAGCTTGTTCCAAATAAGTTGAACATCTTGATGTGGAGGGTAGCTCTTAATCACATTCAAACCTGTACAAATCTTGATGAGAAAGGTACTAACATGTAGTCTTTTTTTGTATGTTTTGTGATAATGATACTCATGTGAATAAATATGTATTAGTTTTAACCAACTAATTTAACTACTTATTACTCATAAGACAGTGTACCTAATCGAAAATAGGATATCACAAATAGTCGGGTATCGAACACAGGGGACGGAATTACTAGCTAGTTTTATCTATTAAAGTTACCTAAAACTATTATTTAATTAAAAATAGGTTTTTCTCTAGTTTTGCAAGACTATAAACTTAAATAATCAAACTAAAGTTAGAAAGGAACTAATTAATATATATAATTAATTAGTTAGAAAGGAACTAATTAATATATATATATATATATATATATATATATATATATATGAGTAGGATCAAATGAGAACACCTAAAAGGTTGAGAATGCGAGAACAGATCTAGACCTTCCATTAGTTAAGATCTAAAGCTAATATCAATGTGTCATTTATATAACTTCTAAAACTCATGGGATGAAATTGTAAATATTTAATTGACTAAAAGGGTATTTTAGTCATCAAATTCTAAACTATTTTTATCAGATTCCTTAAATCTCTCTATCCCTGCGTTTCCTTCTTCTCTCTCTGATTCAAACATTTAAACCCAAATTCGTACGAGTCGTCACCACCGTTCACTACAAACGCCATCGTCTCAAATGAGAACACCTAAAAGGTTGAGAATGCGAGAACATATCTAGACCTTCCATTAGTTAAGATCTAAAGCTAATATCAATGTGCCATTTATATAACTTCTAAAACTCATGGGATGAAATTGTAAATATTTAATTGACTAAAAGGGTATTTTAGTCATCAAATTCTAAACTATTTTTATCAGATTCCTTAAATCTCTCTATCCCTGCGTTTCCTTCTTCTCTCTCTGATTCAAACATTTAAACCCAAATTCGTACGAGTCGTCACCACCGTTCACTACAAACACCATCGTCTCAAATGAGAACACCTAAAAGGTTGAGAATACGAGAACAGATTTAGACCTTCCATTAATTAAGATCTAAAACTAATATTAATGTGTCATTTATATAAATTCTAAAACTCATGGGATGAAATTGTAAATATTTAATTGACTAAAAGGGTATTTTAGTCATCAAATTCTAAACTATTTTTATCAAATTCCTTAAATCTCTCTATCCCTGCGTTTCCTTCTTCTCTCTCTGATTCAAACATTTAAACCCAATTTCGTACGAGTCGTCACCACCGTTCACTACAAACACCATCGTCTCACCTTTCACCGTATCTACAAATCCCGTAACTCGATTTCAAGACTTGCAAGCTGATTTCCAATCAGCCTTTTGCAACTTGATCTCCAATCGGTCTCCTGTAACTCGATTTTAGTTCATTGGTTGTCTTTGGAGATTGTAGACCTGCAAATTGATTTCAATTTTGAAGCTATGGTCTCGATTTTGCTTGAATGTTGTTGTCATGATAAAGGCTGATGATGGAGGATCTGTCGATGGTGGTTTCTTGGTGACAAAGGGTGAAGGTTGTCGGCATGTCATGATGATAGCGATGGGTGCGATTAGGGATTCCTTTATATTCATTTGTTCATCATCAGAAAGGCCTTCTCTTCTATTTCGATTCTAATCTTAGGAAAGGTGCGTTATCGCTTTGATTTCTCGTTAGCTAGGCTTCAATAAGGACGTTTTATCGTTGTTGATACCGGCAAGACCCAGCCAGATGATGTCTGCTGGTTGGTAGTGAGAGGACTCTTAGTACCTTTACTGACCCCTCTCTGTCTCTCCCCCGCGCTGTGAATGTAACTTTCGAAGTGGACTGGGAAGGAATGCGAATAGGTATTTCAATTGTTGGACTAAATGAATAGGCAAGGAAGGCAAGGCACTTGACTGAAAGGCACAACTATTAGACAGAGGGCACGAGGAATCAGAAAGACGCCAGAGAAAGTTTTGAGTTGACTATGAGGGTTCTGAGAGTTCTTCAGATTTCATGTTCTCGGATTCAAGCAGGCTAAATTCTATATTCTGGTAAGTCTTTCAACCCTTCTATTTTCATCTGTAAATAGTCTTGTGTTCCGCTTTGATTTCTCGATGATCCGGGCCACATTAAAACGACATTTTTCTTTAATGAAGTTTATAATTTTCAGTTTGTAGGAATAAATCATTTAACCAAAAAAATAATCATTTAAGAATAAAATTGTATATGAATACATAGAATGATTCTACATTCACACTTTTTCTCCCCTAAAATGATAATCATTTCTGAATACAAGTATTATTCGTTAATGAATAGAATACACTAACAATTGATTCTCACTAAGTGGTATTTATTAGCTAAAGTGTATATGTTTGTATCAACCAGAAATTGATTTAGTTCAGTCACTTCTGCATGAGTCCTTTTCCACCATGATCGATGTCCTTCAATTTAATTTAATGATGACCTAAAATGTTGTTGCAATTCGCATAATCATTGGTATCTTTGATATGTTTAGCATTGTTTTTATTATGTAATTGTTTGGTTTCTCATAATCATTGGTGATTACAATTGATGATTTTAATTGGTAAATGTGTTTTATTTTATTTCTGTAATTTTTTCGACCTACAATAGCCTTAC